TGCTATCCCATATAAATTTAAAGAAAACGGATAACAATATTCTTTAATTCCAAACAATGTCATTTACGATGTATTTCTCAAAAGTTCAGAAAACAATAAAATTTGTATATTGACGTATGTGAAGAACAAATAACAAAAAAAAAAAAAAAAAAAAAAAAAAAAAGAACGAATGTAATCTTTTTAAAATTAGATAACTAGATCAGTCTTTCCTATCGATTCGATTTTATATTATCAAACTTTCACAACTTTCAATTTTAATCGACGCGGAAAACTATTAACCACGATAAACGCATAATTCAAAACATAGACAGACTTTCTTATGTTCAATCTCATGAACCAAATTGTCAACATTAAAATAATTGATACAATGTAAGTGATCATATAATTTTGACTAATTATTGAAATTTTCCAATGATAAACGATATTATTAATGTCATAGATTGGAATTGGGTTGCTAGATTAATCCTGCGGTTCATCGTCGTAACTTTGGTCAAATTGGTTTGCCATACTATCATAACGGGAATAATAAATGTAATATAATAAACGAACATTTAGTCTTAACTAGATACGAAATATTTTTCTCAACAATAAAAATACTCAATTTGTTATTGCTTATAGCATATTATGATTATATAATATTTGTAATAGACAATGAAATTTAAACCTATAAATTGGCTTATATTTTTTTTATAAATTATGTTTCCTTCAATTTCAGCAATATCGGCATCTATTTTTACTCTTTTCTATTCTCGATATAATTATTTATTTCAACAAAGTATAATTAATAAGCATTTAATACTGGTTTTCATTAAAGCAGAAAGATTTTTGCGAAACATTCAAACCTTTAAACGGAGAACATATTTAAACATTGCTTTTTAAAAAAATAAAATATCACAAATATTAGTCAGAACATCATGTTATTAGAAATATTAATTTTTGTAAAATTCTAATTACCAATTCGGAAAGGTATTTTCTTTTAAAATGACTTGCTAATTGTAGTTTATTTTTAATTTAGATGATTTTTTAAGATATAGTTGGGTAAGTATTATTTTCAATGAAATTTTATGAAAATTTTAAAAGACACAAAATTCCACATATTTTATCTCTCAAGAAATTCCTTTATAATATATTTTTTAACGTTACTATTTGCATATACTTTTCACGAAAAATCTTATATTACATAAGAGACGCAAGATTTTTGTAATTTATATTTTGTGTGAATTTTTATTAAGGCAATAAAATACCAATAATTGAGTACAATTACATTTGATTAAGATATTAAAAACAAAAAAACAAAAACAAAAACAAAAACAAAAAAAAACAAAAAAAAAACAAAAAAAAACAAAAAAAAAACAAAAAAAAACAAAAAAAAAACAAAAAAAAACAAAAAAAAAAACAAAAAAAAACAAATAAAAATCATTTTTTTTTTTTATTACATAACATAAAAATCGTAATATAATCGAACTTAATGGAAAACAACGTAGATCCTCTTTGTAAAACTGATAAATCTAATATATCGTATGTTCTCTAGAATCTATCACTAACAGATCAGATAGATGTGTATAAATATTGCATAAAATAATATAATAAAATAAGCTTATTTTCGATTTTTGTTTTTTTGTACTTTTATTACATATCACAAAGATCTACCATTCCTTTCCATAAGTAAATTTATTTATTAACAATAAAGTACATTACATACCGTAATTATATTAATCAAGAAACAATTTTTGTTTAAATTGTTAGAAATCAAAATAATGCATTTAAAAATACCATATACAATTAATAGTTTCAATTTAAATTTATGTATAAAAATTCTTAATAAGATAATGATTAGAAAACTAGAAACGATAAAAGTGTATAATAATTTATAATGATTAAAAAAATTTATTTCAAATCCAATTATCGAATATTATATTAATATGATTTTTAATGATTTAACGATTTAGCGATTTTCTATTTAACTCAAGCTTTTTTTTTTTTTTTTTTTTTTGTGTATAATCAATTTCATTTTCAGATTTCCGTAATAATTCAGTATATATAACAATAAACAAACATCGCCCTGTTTTTTTCTCTGTAATACTTTATTTTGCATTAGTAATTAATGTAAAGGATGATATTACGACACAGTGGAATTTCAAGTATAAAAATATATTTTTAATTTTTTCAAAATACATAGTAACTTTTACATTACACGTCACATATAAATCGAAACAGGATGTTGCTAAACGTCTAATTAACTTATAAGCTTTAAATACAAATAGTAATTTTAATAAAATCAACAAATTATTATTATTATATATATATATATGATTAATGTGCTATGAGAATAGGTGATTATAAATTATTCTTTTATCGCAAAATTTTATATCCGGTCATGCTATTTCATACATTTTTCTTCTTCTATATTAAAAATAAATTTGATAACATTATTGATAAATTTATGAAAAATTGACAATACATACATTGACACTTAGTTCTCCTTACATGCGCTCCAATATTCTAAGCTGATAGTGATTTATATGATATCATTTTAAAAGCTATTAATTTTAACATTCTATTAATAATTTCCACGTAAGATAAATGATAAAGAATAATAATAACTCCTTAAATTAAAGTAGAGGTAGGCTGAGTTTATACGGATGCATTTACGATATCCAATTCAATTGGAAATAAAGTTAACCATATTGGAAAGAAAAAAAAATTGTTTAAAGCTATTAATTGCGTATGTTATATTCATGTATGAAATTTATTTTATTTACTAGATTACAAGTCTTGCAAATTGTTTAGCGTTACCAATGACACCAAAAGAATTATTTTATAGTAATTTTTTGTTTTTTGTTTTTTGTTTTTTGTTTTTTGTTTTTTTTGTTTTTTTTTTGTTTTCACATTACTCTTCACATAGCATTTTGACATAAAGGAAACGAGCATAATAAAAGAATGTAAATGTTGAACAAAAGCATCGATAAAATAAGAAAATGAAAAATTGATAATTAGTGAAATTGTAGCTTATGTCAAGCTCGATAAACTAATTAGCAAAAGATCTTGTGAGTAAAAATATTTATATTTAATACTGGATATTAAATTGAAATTATATCGAAAGATATTGTCATTAATAGTATTTTTATTGAAAGTTAGTACGGTGCTCAAATTCATTAATTATTTAATTAATAATGCGTTGCTGATATGCATAATTGAAATCGAACAATATTTATGTTAAAATAATATGACCTTAAAATCAATTCGTTTTGAAACGCTGAGCTACAGATTATTGATAATGAAATGTAACACTTTCTTGTAACATTAGATATCAATTTTAAAAACTTGGGCTCACGCAAAATTAATTTCATACTAACGTGCGTATAATTACATTTTTAATTTTGACGTACGATTAAGTATTGTCGGTTAATACAGTGTTTTATTAAACCTGACATAGCCACTAGATTTTGTTCATAAAGAAAATTTAATTTAAAATCTATTTTCATATTGTATTGAGCTGCGGATAAAGCAGCTTCTTTTTTTTCTTTATTCTTTTTTCTTTTTTTCTTTTCTTTTCTTTCTTTTTCTTTTTTGAAAATTACACTCGCTTACGTACTTTATTGGAAAAAATGTTAGATAACATAAAGATTACAATTAGCAACAGACTTATGTCAAATAATACAAGCGATTCTTAAGTTTCGCCCTTTCTTTCACAAAGCCGATAACACCGATTAATGAATAATTATCTCGCGCCTTATTAATCTAACGCTATGAGCACACACAAACTCAAAGATTTTAATAAGATTTTTGTAAGATATTTGATTGGCCAAACGTTTTATCCGCGCATTAATGTTCCTTTACATACGTAATACAAAATTAATCTGGATACCCGCTTCAATCTATTAAATGTCAATCGCTTAATTTATAGTTTACGATTTTACAGCAACATTTGATTTATTCTATATCTCTAATAAATATAAAGCAAAAATTACAATGTAAAATTAAGCTCGAATTTCATAATCATTTATTCTCCATAGCCTCCATAGCCCAAAATACTACTTATCAAAGATCGATTTACCAACTCTATTATATCAACACTGTCTTCTCTTAGAAAAAGTATCAAATGTGTGCAGTAGTAAGCGACTCTATCGCGGACAACTTTCCCCATTATAGCGATTTCGGCCACCGTCTAACCCCTTCCCATTTCAATCCCGTCAACCCCTCTTCCCACGGCTAGCAAAATAAAAGGAAAAAAAAAACAAAAACAAAAATCAATCACGCTTAATATTCTCCTTTCGCTGCTCAATGCGATCGACATAATGTTGGTGGTCCCTGTGCGGGGCATTTCATTGACGAATAAATGTCATCGTCTCCACCACGACTCCCAAGGAGCTTCGTCGGCCATTACTCGGCGTAAACTCGAGTGCTGAGTTACGTAATGTTAAGCTGGAGGAACTAGCGAATCCGCATCGGCCACCGTCGCCAACGACTGACTCGCTTCACGCACCACCTCGGCCTTATAAAATCTGCACGCACGCGACTTTTCCTAGTGCGGCCGTTGCAAATGAGCCGGAGTAAAATTCGGAACGGTCGAATGCCGTAAGCTAGCGCCGTTCTAGCGGTGCTGCACGGAAGCAGGCGGCACGGCACCTCTCCGTCGCTGCATTCGTCGTCGCCGTACGCCGCTGCTTACGATCGCCGTAGCGGCAACCGTCGCCGCCGTCGCCGCCGCCACCGCCGCCGCCGCTACCGCCACCGCCTCGGCGGCACGTCTCCCTCCTCCTTCGTCCCGGCCGCCGCCGGCACCACGCGCCAACGAGCGAAAGAGAGAAAGAAGGAAGGTGCCGCCCGACGTCGGTAGGCACGACGCGCCTCGCACATTCAGTGCCTAACAGTGCCGCTGCCCGGCTGCTTGTGTGTGCGCGCGCGCGCGCGATCCTCTCATTCCCAGCTGGCAGCACCTTCGCCGGACTATAAACAAACAGCTTCGATTTTCCCTCTGACCGACTACGCTGACCTCCTCGCTCTCCATGTGTATTTTGTGCGCGCGAGCGACGATTCCGCGATCCGCGGCACCATGAGACCCTGCCACGGCGGGCTTGACCTTGAGACGCAGCAGCCGTGATCGGTAGCCGCGGCCTCAACAGCCACCGACCGACCAACGCTCCCAACGTAAGTATACACACTTTATCGCTCTCTCTCTCTCTCTCACTCTCTCTCTCCCTCTCTCTCACTCTCTCTCTCTCTCTCTTCGTCTTTCTGTGCGAGCAGTTTATGCATATATGCGGGGTGGGGTGGGGCAGAGTTCGCTTCCCTTGTTGTTCTTTCACCCTATTCAGCGATGGCGGGGGTGGGGGAAGCCAGCTGAGCTAGAAACTTTGGATAATGGGAAAATTCTAGGGCGAGGCCAGGCGGTGACGAGCGCTCTCGAGATCTCGAGGAAACTCAACTGAAATTTCAAACTTTCATTGCGTACGCCAAGTGCTGTACCGTAATGTGGATCATCCATTACTTTTTCGTAATGGTTTTGCGAGAAGATGTGATCGGGCGGACGACATTGAGCCGTGAGACACGCAATCCCCGCGTCCAAGCTCCCATAATTACCGCTCTGATAATTTAGCCTAGAATCGCCAGTCCCGTAGCTCGCTCGATTTATTCATTATTGCGCGCATTTTTCAGTACTTAAACATCGTCGCGCACGAGAGTGTCTTCGGTCTATTAAAGTTATCTAAGACAGGATTCCTGCGCACCTCGAAGCCCATGCAATTAATCCAATGTGCCCATGCCATGGATATACATTATACGCGCGATTAATAAACACGTAATAGATGCTCGCGGTGGTCTTATCTCTCATCGGCCGGGCCGTCACAACTTCCAATAAAGTTGCGATCGCATGCGCATATTAAGCGCGAGGATCTCTCGATCGCCGGGCGATCGTGGGTGTAACCAGCCGCTCCCAGCCAAAGACAAAGAGGAAAGTACGTATTCGTGACTTCAAGAAGGATCGATTGTCAAAACGGTAGCGGCGATCGGCGGGCGCAAAGGGTCGAGAGAAAATCGGCAGCCGACGGCGCATCCTGTGCGGCGCCGTTGAGCTTAACGGGGCTCCCGCCCAAGCCCTCCTGCCCCAGGACGTGAAAAACGCCGCATGTATTATTTATGCGCCCGGTAGCGGCACCGTGCGATTACGATGCACAACGAGGGACGTGAAGGAGCGCGCGTTTCCCGCCAAACCCGCCCGCCGGCTCACTTATTTACTATTACGACGCAGATTCTCTTGGGCGGTAAAGGAGGCGATGTCGGTGTCACACTCGCACTCGCGTAATTTTCTGTCCCCGGCGAACTTAAGGCCCTCGGCGCTTTATTCCTTTGTCGAGGGAGGAGGCTATATTGTCCGGCTGCTCCTGGCTCTTAGGAACTTAGGAACCCGGTGGTGGTGCGGCTGGTGGGACTCGGCGAGGGCGGTCATAGTCCCGAGATTTCGCCCGTAAAATACATTCTTATCCACTAGCGATTTTTAAAACTTCATCGCGATCCTTAATCCGCCGGCCAATCTTTCCAATGAATCCCATTCCGGTCGATTATTGCCATACAATGTTGGCCAAACTTGGCTGTCCGAGTTTTCTCTTTCTCCCCTCCATCCCCTCATCGTCCATCCTCCATCCACTCAACTATCAACCATTCTTTTACACTCTGTCATTTAACGGTTAACGGGCTCCTCGCTTCGCCCCTTTCTAACAGGCGCGACTAGTTACTTTTTAACGCGCTCGTTAATAATTTCTTCGCGACCTTTCTCCCTCGGCATTTTGAACATACATGTTTGGGCATATTCGCACCTCGGCGTCAATATTACATTTTGGCTCTTTTGTCCATTCGGCTTCGAGGCGTTGCAAAGCACCTTTAACATTGCCCTCATTCCACATTGTCTTAAGTTAATTGCAAATTGTGATGTAAGACGGCGTGTAACGTGTCACCGGCGCGGTTAGTTGGCGCGAAAGAAACAGCGCAGGTGTACCTAATTGTATTTGGAGAAAATTGCATTTTTATATATAGGAATAATAATGTTCGCTATTGCTAGGGCGCGCGATTACGATCGGCAATGAAAGAAATCCATAATAAAAGTTTCTCGGCGACATCAGCGTTCAGAGTTTTTAAATCACGGCCCAACGAAAGATAAATGCAAATACGTAGAATGCCGTAGGGAGGGTGGGGGGGGGGAGAAAAAACATCATCGCCTGTCGTACGAGCGCGAGCTATTTGGCGATGGAAAATAAAAAGACGAGGATGGAATGAAGAAACGCTCGATGTTGACTCGACATCACGTTGGTCTGTGCGCATCCTCTTATCTAAATGTTTCGAAATGATTGTGTCGCGCTGGAGCTAAAATTATCTCCCCCTCACTTTTACTCTTCCCCTTCCGACGTCGTCGTCGTATTCTTGAGTGCATGTCAGCCAAGTCTATGTATATATTTCATCGATTCGCGTAAATTCTCTTATCGTTCAGCCATCGAAGATTAGCGATTTGGCCGCACAACCGCCTGCGGCGGCCACTTTATCGCTTATCATTCATTCGAGCGTCAAGTGAGCATTCGCGTTTGGGGGATCGCCGCTTCTTATCGGCCGGTTTCTTCTTCGGCCAACCTAACGCTATACTCCCCCCGTTGCTATTATCCTGCGTGTATTGAATGATCGCTGCGAATTCATTCAAGGACGAGGCACCAAGTGACATTCGCTAGAAGATCGAGGAGAAGAGAGAGAGAGAGAGAGATAGATAGATAGATAGATAGATAGATAGATAGATAGATAGATAGATAGATAGATAGATAGATAGATAGATAGATAGATAGATAGATAGATAGATAGATAGATAGATAGATAGATAGATAGATAGATAGATAGATAGATAGATAGATAGATAGATAGATATAGATAGATAGATAGATAGAGATAGATAGAGAGAGCGAGAGAGAGGAAGAAAGGTGATGGGTGGGATGGGCCGAGGGTTGCGCTCCATCTGTCACGGATATTCGCGCACAAAAGCGATGCCGAGTTAAGACGTAAATTGTTTTCTCGTTGTATTATCCGAGCGACTGCGGTTGTATTGCTTTCGCCCATTATATCGATAAGCCCGACGAGGATTTCCCATAGGAAAGGCTACGCTTGCATTTTATATTATATTCAAAGTTTCGTCTTATTGCATATCGAGTTCGCGACTTGGATCGATCGATTATAATTAAGAGGAGAGACGGGAAAATTTTTGAAACTACACTCGTGCTGTCATGCAGCCTTAAGTACGGTCGCTCTGAATCTAACTTACGCGTGCTCGTAGGAGTTCACTTTGGAAGAGGGGAACGTCCATAAGTAAGGTAAAACATCGACCGAGAGTGTCCACAAAAGTGCAATGACAATTATAGTTAGAAAGCGGTGGAGGGGGGGAGTTGGAAGGGAGGTGAGCCGGGATGAGAAGAAAAGCGTAAGCGTCGTCCGCGCGACGGGGTCAAACAGCATAATGAAAATTCGAGTCGGGTGAAGCTGCCCTTACCGCCGCCCCCGCTGTTCCGTTCCCATCGAATATTAACGGACGAGACTTGCACCTCCGCACCCACGTCGCGTATTATCCCATCGATGAGTACGATCCGATTGGACGCGCGGTTGACGAGCACAGCAGCTTTTAAAGTGCGCTTTCCCCTCGCTTCCTCTGGCCCCGTTTGCACGCGCGAGCCAATGCATTAGAGGCCGAGAGCAAAGACCTCATTACACTAAGGCGCCTTGCGACTCGATCGAATAAAGTCCTTTCTCCGAATGGTTCAATAGTACGCCGAGGATGATGAGAAGGGGGAGGGGCTATGATCAGGTGGGTAGGAGGGTGTATGGACGGTTGACGAGGCGAGCGGGTGGGTGGATGGGTGGGGGTTGGGATCCGGCTATGAAGGAGGATGAGGAGAAGGTGGCGGTGGCGTTGGTGATAGCGACGGAAGAGGGGGGCGCACCAAAGGGAAATGGATCTCTTTCTTAGTTCTCCAATGTTAGATAATCATCGGAGCTATGACGACGCGCGGCTGATGCAGTCCACATACACAAATGCACGAGCAGGTACACAGAGGCGCAGGTAGTGGGATCTCGTAAGTCCCCCTCGGGCCGCGCCATTGTTTGGCCCTCGTGGGCTAGTTGTACAACCTCCGGACCCGAGAAACACGGAGATCGTCTTCTCTTGCTCACTTAAATCTTCGTGCGCTGTCTGGTTCCTCGTCGTCCTTTTCTTCTTTACTTATTCTTATGCTATACGTACTCATTTTACTCTCTCGTACGTCTCATTTTTTCCTATCTCTTCTCTATACTTTGTTGTTTCATTTTTTTGGCGCGATTCTTGTTGCTCTCTTTTAATTGCGGTGATTTTCACTTTTTTGCCTTTGTAAATTTATGTATTCCTGTCCCTCTTCTCTCCCTCATTGCAATCCAGCCGCCACCCCCCCCGCCCTCCCTCTCGCTCACTCGCGCGCATTTACACCCGCGCACGCACGTGCACGCGCTATTTTAGCTATATATTTTACTTTTCTCCAAATTCTTATGTGTATGAAAGCGGATGTATTATTATTATGCTCTTGTTTTGCGTAATTTGAATATTATTTTGAAAATCTTTATAAATTTTAATGTAAAAGCAATGCATAATATTAAAATTTATTAAGACAAGGTTAACGAGTTGGTTCTATAACCTTAGGTGCTGCCTGAAAATCTCATCTTGGACGAGTTTTGTTTCCTTTCATTGTCTTATACGCCAATTCCCTTTCAAACTCATTTCTTTTGTACTAGCTTTTCTTTTGTCTTTCATATTATTTTTTCACTACTCACAAAAGGTTCAATCCTTTCCCTCTTTTACACTTAATTATTATTTCCATCTTTATAACTTTAGACGTCTCTTCAGTTTTTTTTGTTGTTTTTTTGTTTGTTTTTGTTTTTGTTTTTGTTTTTGTTTTTGTTTTGTTTTGTTTTGTTTTACAAATGCAAACACAGTCGTTTTACAAATTCTGCACTTGCATCATTAAAGAAATATTTATTAAGAACATAAAAAATGCTATCGTAAACACTCTTATTATATCGTCGTTTAAAGTATCTTTCAATATATCAAACTAAGTATATATTCTATAATAGTAGCAATCTGTTTAACCTATAAT